GTCCAGCATGCCCTTTCTCTTAGTACCTTTTTATTGCCCTGTCTCAAAACAAACAGAAAAATATTTTTAGGTGTATCAACCAAGAGTCCTTCTTCCCTTCTTAGATATTGCTAATGAGAGCAGTTGGCAATAGGGCCACTTCCCCTCCCCCATCATCTTAGTTTTCCACTTGCCATACTCTGCATATTCTTATTTCCCCCCCTTTCTTTCTAATGGTAACCTTTCTAATCTTTGAGACATAACGCTATCTTTGATCTGCAATTCACTGGAAATTCCTTTCCTTTCTCTATCGATTGTGTCTCCTGGAGTAATGTAACTAAATTGCAATTTCCCTTTGCAGGCTGGGTGTTCCTGAACCATGGGAGTGAGTTATGTGTGTTCAAGTGCTACATCTTCTGAATCTTGTTAAGCTTTGCCACCTTCTAGCCCCACTGATGGAATATTTAATCACAGAAATGAGCTGGCTGATATGATATACAGTGTGAGGAAGCTCTGCCCTGTGGATCTTACTGGCAATTGAGGATCAGAACGGTGCCATTTGTCAGTACCACTGTGACAACTTTGAATCACCTTCTGTTTCTTATTTATTTTGCTTCACTTATTATGAACATTAAAGGTATATTGAATCAACCGTTTTACTGGATAGGTATCATCTCTAAAAAAAGAAAACATTATACTTCCAAGTGGTAAGGATTTTTTGCATGTGTGTGCATGTGGGTGTACATGTGTGTACACATGAATGTGTGTTTTTTTGTGTACATGTAGGTAATATAACAGGTGTTGTTCTTCAGGAACTATCTAACTTGTTTTTTGAGACTGGGGTAGGAGGACCCTACAGCCAGTAGGGTCCCAGAAACCCATTGTTTTCTCCCTCCCCAGGCTGAGATAATAGGAAGATGCCAGAATCCTTGATTTTTTACTTTAGTTCTGGAGATGGAACTCAGGTTTTCATGTATGCAAGGCAAGCACTTTACCAGCTGAGGCATCTCCCCAGATCTCAACATGTTTTATTAGAAAAGGCAAATAGGATTCTCTATGGACAGGGGTGTGGTAAGAATCCCTTATGAGCCTTCTTTATTCTGATCCTTAGACATGTTCTTTCTAATTACACCCAGTAACTTGAGGCATACTGATGGGAGTAGATACCCATAGATATTCCTTTTTTATTAGCACCCCAAATTTTATTTAAACCCTAAGATGGTGTGGCCACACCAATACACATTGGTCAAAATCTTTAAGACCCATCTTAATTGACTTATCAATCATTTGTCTTGAGAATAAACCTCACAGGGTCTGAAGATAATTAGACTTAGGGAAATAATCAATGCTGCTTAGCTTTATATGAGAACACCCACCTGTCTTTGGAAAAGATTTATATCTGTTCCTAGAATATGCAGATATATGTATATTTGTTTCACCCCACTTGTAGTGAATAAGAAATTAAAAGAGTTCATAGTAAGCATGACTGGAAGTGAAACCAGAAAAAACAAACAAACAAACAAAAAACCACAACCTTCCAAACGAAAAACCTTTTAAAATGGCTTTCTAAATGTTTCCCAGGATTGTGTGTGTGTGTGTGTGTGTGTGTGTGTATACATGCAAATGTCATAATCTATCAAAGCAAATTAATACTGTTCAGCTAGTAATTAAAGGTCTTCATTAAGAAGTGAGCCCTCCCTCCCCACCCCCATCCGACATCAGCAATAAAAATGCACTGGGGGGCACCAGAAGGTTCTATACGAAAATCAATAACTTGCCATTTTATAATTAAAAGAGAAAATAAATGTTAGGGGAAAGTCCACTAAATTAGGAAAATTACCTTTAGGAGAGATTGAAAATATTGATTTTAATTTATAAAATCTGTGAACTTTCCATGCTCCATTTTGAGAGACAATTGGAGGCTGGATAGTTCATTCTGCATAAGCTTGAGGAAAATCAATAATTATGCTATGGGAGTGTCATGAAATCTGTCATGAACACATCTTAGACTGAGAAATGACTAATGAGTCTGGCTGTCCATCTTGGTCATACACAGAGATGACTTATGAAATATCCAAAGTAAGCCATGGCCGAGGTTTTTATCTCTGGTATGAGGCACCCTCCAAACTGCAAGAGAAATCCAGACTAGTTTTATAGTTAAGGAAGTTTAGATGCCTTGTAAATTCCTAGTCATTGGTGTGTAGCTGGAAGGCATGGGTCATCACACCCAGACTTCACACTTACATGGCCAGCGTTTTGCCAACTGAACTAATGTCTCAGCTTCCTTTTTCTTTTTTATTGTGTTTTTTGTTTGTTTGTTTGTTTTTGGAAACAGGGTTTCAATTTGTAACCCATTCTGGCCTCAGCCTCCCAAGTGCTGAGATGCATGCATGCACTTCTATGGCAGATTCCTTGCTTAAAAAACAAAACAAAACAAAAAACAAAAACTTTCACTTCTTGAGAAAGTCTCATAAGGCATCATCGGTTGTTCAGATCTCTTTGAGGCTGTTCTCACATAACCAATTCATATACCTACCATGGCGGTGGTGCTAGAGCAATGACCAGGGGGCTTGCCTCACTTTAGAAAGTGGTATGATCACAGGGCACAGTCACAGAAATGTAGACTTATTATTTATAAAATATAAAGAAGCCACGATATCCATTTACAAAGGACTCAGCCCCTAAGACTGATCAAAACCCTACTTTATTTTTGTGTGTGTGTGTGTGTGTGTGTGTGTGTGTGTGTGTGTGTGTGTGTGTGAAATCCTAAAGGAGATCTATACCCTTTGTATACTTTTGTGTTTTAACTTGCAAAACTGTCATAAGGATTGAATACAATCATGTATGGAATGTGCATAGAATAGTGCCAGCCCGCAGAAAATATGGAGTGCACATTACCCCTCTGAACTTGCTCTCTTTCTGTACTTGGAGACCTCTCTGCCTAGGCTGGGCTTTGATCTAGTTTTAACTAAGGTTCTGATGCTGTTGAAGGAATGCAGATTCCTTTATGTTTGCATATGTAAGTCAGTCTAACCCTGTTCTTTGTATTCTTCAGCACCAGCAGGTATTTACTGTGGGGCAGAATCCCAAATAAAGGAGATGGTTGACATTATCCTGGTCAGTAGAGGCAAGGGTGGCCATTAGGAAGGGAAAACTATACAGTGCTTTCAGATCACACCCACATCTGTGACCAACTCCCCAAGGGAATACTTTCTGCTTCTTGCTCTTGACCCCATTTCTCTGGAGAGAAAAACCTGAACACAGGCACATAGCACAAACCTTCACAGGTCTGCAGAACCTGCCACTGCCTTGGATCAGCTGCTGCAGATTTGTGGCTGTCCCTGCAGGTATGTGAAAGCCAGATCTTCTCTGATCTTTGGGGAGATTTTGTATATTTTTAGCTTTGAAAAAGATTTACCCCAGAATACTAATACCATCCAAGGTGCATCTTGCTCCTGAACATATAGCCATGCCCCTAAGCCCAGAAGTTAACACTCCAAGTAGATACGCTGAGAAGTCAGAGGCCAGTCCTCTTACAAGTAATGAAAACAACTTGAGTCCAATAGTGTGTTCAGGGCTCAGCTATATCAGGCATTAACATGTCCTCTCCCACCATGACACAAAGGTTGAATATTAACTTGCTTATTCAACAAACATTCATATGATGCTGAATATGTAGCCAGGGCTTCATATAGCTCTTCCTTATATTCTAATAAACACCTATGTACTTCTGCTATCATAATCCCCATTTGAGAGATGAAGAAACTAAAGCACAGGGAGTCTTAATAACTTGTCCAGAGTCACACATCTGGCAAATAGGGGAAGAAGTGTCTGAATTTGAGCTGCCTGGTTCATCTTCCATGTTCTTTACTCTCCTGTGATCATCTCAGGAGGTAGGGTACACAGAATTGAGAAGCCTTACAGCCAGGTGTACCCTCCCCTATAAGAGTGAACACAGCTGCTGCATGGTGGTGCAATCCCTAGATTTAATCGAAGCTCACACAGGAAGAGGCTCACAAACATAGCTGGAATACAAATCTCAGCTCTTGTACGCCCCTTCCTCAGGTCCTCAGGGTTTCATAGTTTGGTTTGTGCATAAGAGTAGTTAGGATCTGCTCCTTTCACATCTTCTCGGAGTGATGTTTAGTCTCAGAAAAATGGCAGGAGTTGGGCAACCGGAAAAAATAAACCAAAATTTACTCCTACCACTAAGTGAGTGGCTCAGATCAACTATTTACCAATTGTACAATGTTTAGGAGGCATGCCATCGGAAGGCTCCTTCCCCATACCCATAAGAAAAGCCTGCTACTAGAGTACCAGGCTTTCAAGGCAGCCTTGGTGACAAGACCTCAGGATCAGTGACAGGCTACCCTGCCATATTAAAGTAAGAAATCTTAGCTGTAGAGGCTTCTGGCTCTTCCCATGATTTGTTCTCTGAGTTGTCTCAATGGGTAGATTTCCCTACTAAGGGCACTTGGGAAGGGAAGAGGGGAAAGAGAGAGATGTATGCATGGAGCAAAGTAGACAGAACTGAACTTGCTAAGACAAATTGATCCATGGAGAAAGTTCTTTTCATTCTCCTAACTTTCACCTAAACTCTATCTTGGAAACTCCCAGTTTCCACTTTGCTGAAATGATTGACTCAACCCTCTGCTTTATCAGGAAAGAGGAAAGCACCTCTGATGGAAATGCACAGCTAACAGGTGCATGGCAAGGGCATTGCATTACGATGGGACTGAGCCTCCACCCCTTTGTCCAGTGTCCTGCTGAGCAAAGCCCCAATGCTTTCCTAGGGCAAAGACAGAGTGGCAGAGCCTCATGCTTATCTCACAAGTGTGAGCCCCCCCTCCATCACTGGAGATTGTAAACACTCTTGGTTTTGCCCCAAGAAATCCTTGAGAACTTGTTAGGACAGGATTCCTCGTTTAGATTGAGCTACAAAACCCATGATATAGGGGGCAGGCAAAGCACATTTAGAAATGACCAAGCAAGACTTTAGCGTGCAAAGCAAAGTTCCTTACCTGCATAGAAGTCGGGGCTGTAGACGGCGCCCACAACTGGATTTAATTTCCAGCCTTAAAATAAGCACAGAAGGATTACATCACATTTGTGTTAGGAACTTCTATCCCTTCAAGGCAACCACAGTGAACACAGACTGAGATAGGGTACTTGTTTGCGTTGGAAAGTATCAAGACTATGTAGGGTGAACATGCACAAAGTTGCTTGCAAAATCTGGAGTCTACATTTTTTGGTTTTCTGGTATCGCAAGTGAATGGAATGAAAACCACTGACCGGCTACAGGTGAACCTTGTGAAAAAAAAAAAAAAAAAAAAAAAAAAACAGAATTCATGCTCAACCATATCAGTAAATCCACTACGATAATCTCAGTTTTTGCTTTATTCCATATCACATTGCTAGATAATCCATCACATGTTGCCTTGCATCAAAGTCACAGATATTTAAAAGCTTGCATAAACAGAACTCTTTGAGGTAACACACTCTGACCATCAGCCTTCCCGATTATGACCTCTAGCTTGTAGAGACTTCCAATTCTCTGCTGTGTGCTTTGTGAATAACAGAGATGACAGCAGTTTATCCCCCAGAGATCTGGTATGGAATACATTTCAATGCATTCAGGAACAGGAAAAACCTTAGTGAGTGCTAAATAGTGAAGGTCACTTTCAAGCCACCTGTCTATGACATTAACAGCAGTCTCTGGTTTGCTAACTGTTACTGATGAAAATATGTCTTAAGTGTGAACTCTGGCTCCTTAGAAATTGTCACTCAAGAAGACAGCACACAAGAACAACCATAAACTGGAAAGCACATTACTGATCTGTTCGTTTGTTGGTTGATTGGTTGTTGCAACAACAGGGAAGAATGCTTAGGCCTCAGAGCTTGTGACTGGTTCTGTCTTTCCTAGGAAATTTCTAGGGAAATTATAGTGGTAGAATTGTTTTTGAGACAGGGTTTTATGTAGCCTAGGAATCTTATGTAGCCTGGGCTGGACTTGAACTCATTATGTAACTTAGGATGGCTTTGAACTTCTGATCTTCCTGCCTCCTTCTCTTGAATACTGGGATTATAGGTTTGGGATACCATACCCACTTAATGAAGTGCTGGGGATTGAACTCAGTACTCCATGTAAACCCGGAAAGCATTTTTCTAAATGAGCTCCACCCTGCATGCCCCTATGTGCCCTTGTGTCTTGGATCAAGGGTCAAATACCCAATATCTTTTAGTAAATGGACCAGAGAAATAGAAATGGCTTATTTTAAAATGCTGTTACAGTTTGGAAGATACATGTCCTGGTGTTTGAATACCTGGTCCCTAGTAGGTGGTGCTGTTTTGAGAGGTTGAATAGCCTTTGGGAAGTTGGACCTAGCTGGAGGCAGGGGAACGCTTGGTCTTGGACCTTGAGGTATATGAGGACCTGACTGCAACATGAGAGTCAACTTTGGGTCTTAGTGACTGTGCCATGCCCCTTCTTACCTCGGAGTTTTCTTCTAAACAAGGCTTCCCACTCCCAGACAGGGTGCTTGAATATCTTTGTGAATCTTGGGCTTGCACTGGATGCCACTGTCAACTCTCCCTTCTCCCTTGAAACTTGATTCTCATCCAGTTTTCCCTTTCAGTCAGTGGCACTTCAAGCCATCTGGTCACTCAAAATTCTGCTCAATAGTTGCTACCTTACCTTCATATTTCGTATACAATCCATTTAAAAAAGTATTCCGTTAAACTAGGGACAGTGCCTTTCTTCTCTACAATATGTTTTTTGCCAGACAAAAGTCATACCAAAGCAAAACAAAGCAATAATAATAATTAAAAGCCACCCTTGGGGCTGGAGGGATAGCCCAGTGTACCGCTCTTGCAAAGGAATGATGCTCAGTTCCTACCACCTCTGTTTGGCATCTTAAAATCACCTATAACTCCAGCTCTGGGGGCTTGAGAACCTTCTTCTGACTTCTTCAAGCATCTGTATTCACATGCACTTACCTCCACACTCATAGACATACACAGGCACACAATTAAAAATCCATATATTCAAACAATTTAAAATAAAACCCATTCATTCACCTTTTATCTTCATCCATTCTATTTGCAGTGGCCAAAGAGTCATGGGAGAAACCAATCACTTGCTCTGTTCCTCTATTAGAACTCCATCTTCCTTCTAGACTCAGGATAAGCACAAACTCCCTGTGTTGGACTAGAAAATGATAATTTATCCAAGTTCCATTCATTTTGCACCACTGTCTCCATTTCTCTAAGATATAGACTGTTGATCTTTAATCTGAATAAAACCACCCAGACTAACTGAACATCTAGAGATTTCCTGACCTTTCTTGGAGAACACTCCCCAAATCTTTCCCAAGTGTCCAGGTATTGTTCTGGTCTCCAATTCCTTTCCAAAACATGATATTCAATGTCACTCTCCTGCCTTCTCTTAGGGGTACTCACTGATTGATCACCCAGTTAAATTTTCTCCATAGGTGCTAACTGTATCCTCTCCCTCTCCCTCTCCCTCTCCCTCTCCCTCCCTCTCCCTCTCCCTCTCCCTCTCCCTCTCCCTCTCCCTCTCCCTCTCCCTCTCCCTCCCTCTCTCTCTCTCTCTCTCTCTCTCTCTCTCTCTCTCTCTCTCTCTCTCTCTCTCCCTCCTTTCCCTTCATTGCTTTCTTTCTCTTCTTATTTGTTTTCTCTATCATTCTCCCTCATTAGAATTGAGAGTAAAGCTGGGCAAGACTGTCAAGTATGAGTTCTAGGCACTTAAAAGCATTTGACAAATACTAAATATTCCATAAACATGGACTTATAAGGAATCAGAAGGCACAAAGTGCTTTTCTCAGTGGTCTTATTTCCTCTGGCTAGGATTTGGTTTCCGTGTGCCCTGCAGATGCTCAATGTTCTACAAGCAGTGAAGGACCTCTTAGGGACTGCCATCTTCCAGTGCAGGCAATGAGGGTTGCCCTTGAAAGTCACCTCTGCGCAGACTAACAGACCTCAAGTAGACTTATGTAAATATATGCAAATCACACACAAATGGACTTATCCTTTCTGTGGCTCCTTCTAGTACCTGAAAGAGACCCCTGGGATAACCTTGCTGGAAATACAGGCCTGCACTGTCAGGAAGATGGACAAAATGATCCCAATTTTAATTTCTGAGACAGTGTATGTATGTCCCCAGGCTTCACAAACTGAGATTTTCATCAGGGACATTAAACCGAACAATGAGGCTTACAAAAGGAAGAGAATAGCAGATAAAGCCTACCACTCCTAGCCTCCCAGGGTCCCATCTGACAAGGCAATGGAGCACAGCCCAGGCAGGCACATGGAGCTTCACCCCTCTGAGATGGGTCTTTGGGGAGCTGCATCAAACCAGACTCCCCGCCTCCCTGAAATGTAGCTTGTCCTGGGTTATGTGCGAGCCTGCTTTAGAAAAATGCTGGACAAGATCCCTGGTGTACAAGCCTTGCTATAGTGAGTGTAATAAAACTTTAGAAAATAACCTGCATGCATTTTAAACAGAGACCTCATAGATGAAATAGAGCAGGAGACAACATCCAAAGGACAAACGAAGCAGTTATTCATACACTGAACACGTGCGCTGTGTGGTCCTTTATTTTGAGTAGCAGCTTTGTTTTCCTATTTTTAGTAACAGGTATCCATAGTCAACATCTAGATTTCACCTAAAGTGTAGGATTTCTGGTTCTCTTGAAACATTGGGAGAAATGGCAACTTTATGTTAGGAATCCCCTCAGATAGCTTTATTAGAGGTGACCAGAAGCTATGATGTGTGACTGCCCAGACAGCAACAGTCAGCCAACAATAAAGCTCCCAGCTGTGAGTGTCTGTTGTTAAACTGGACTGTTTTGTCTGCTCAGAGAGAAATCTCTTGCTTTACCCAGTAAACAAACAGAAGATAAATATTTCAGACTGACTTTCAGTCAGGCCCATCATCCTAGATGTTTGGGAGCCTGAAGCAGGAAGATCTCAAGTTCAAAACCTATGATGGTTACAGAGTGAGTTTAAGGCCAGGCTGGGCAACTCAGTAAGGCCCTGTTTCAAAATGAAGAGTAATAATCAAGTGTGGATAGAGTTCAGTAGATTATAAACAAAACCAGGCGAGAAGATAGGGACTATGAAATGCTATTCTGTGGGCACGACATGGCTGTAGCCCTCAGAAACTTGCAATAGCATAGGATCTACACAAGAGTGAGCCAACCATACATGGGAAGGGACTCATGGGGCCCACCTACCCAGGGGAGCTTTTGGCAGCCTGGCAAAATCATTATTTTTATCAAGAAAGCCACTGTTCAGTTACTCTGTTCCTGTGGGCAGCTCCACACTCATACCCAGACAAGTGGCCTTGCTAAAGCACAGTGTGGCCCAAAGCAAAACCAAACTGAAAACAAAAAGGCAGGGAAGTGGGAAAGATGGAGCTTTGGTAGGAGGGCTGGGTGGGGCAAGGCTAAGAGAGGGAATAGGGATGACTGTGAGCAGAAGGTATCAAATACATGGTAATGAGACTGTTGAATGATCAACAACAACAACAAAAAACCCTACAATCAGCTATCCCAAACAATGAAAACCAAGACCGAGCTTCTCAGAATCTGTTTTTTCTTTTGTTGCCCTTATCTAGCTCCATTTTGCGTCTGAATCTTTGCTCCTACAACTTGGCACAGAAAGAAGGAATGAGATGGCCAATTAAAACTGAGGCCTCTCTGTAATCAAATCCCATTGATCCACAAGCAGCAGTTAAGCACAGAGCACCATCTTTATCTCCCACCCTGGTGGTACTTTACTTCCTCTGAAGATCCCAGACACCTGGGATGTTGGTGCCTTTGTATGTCCAGCTCCCGTACAGAATTATGTCGGAAGATCTTTGAGTAGCTAGGATGCACATCAGTAGTCACTAGCAGAGCCCACACTGGAAGACAAGGCTGCCGGTCTCGATTCCAGCCTTTTGAAAATGTCCAAGGCAACAGACTCCTATGTAACAGCCATGCTTTGCCAACTTCCAGGAAATCCCTCTAAAGCCAGTTCTCCATTTGTAACATAGATCCAGTTTTGGCTATCCAATGAGTACTGTACACCTTCTAACATGCTCCCCCTCTCTAGCCACAGACATGCTTTTGGGAGAAACAGAGACGGTCTAATTAGGCCTTTATAGAGCTCTCTCACAGGTGGAATTTGCAAAACTTCCATATTTCCTTCTATCGTCTATCATATCTACAGTAGAAAGCCATGGGAATGCCTCTTATATCCTCCACACTGATATTACCACAATCTTCTGCATCAGATCCTCCTTCACACCCTCCCATACATGTTTCTCATTGCATTAGGACCAGTCTTAGGCATCACTGGAGACCCTGAAGTTGCTGAAATGTACGACTGAAGGAACTCAGGAACATGACATTTGGCAACTAAATTTTTATTACAATACTTGGGCTTCAAAGTTGGATAACCTATAATTTTGGAAAAAAGGCATTATTTCTATGGTTTATAAGTCATGCAATTAAGAAGTAAACCTCAAAAACAATTATTTTCTTACTCCAACATGGCTTCATGGATATTGACATATTCTCTGTGATGGTTTGAATGCGAAATGCCCCTCAGAGGCTTATGTATAATGGGCCTGGTTATCAGATGACAATGTTTGCGAAGTGATTGGATTAGACAGTCTGCATGTTAACCTCCTGATGGACCCATTGCATGACGGCCTTTGAGGGAGGGGGTAAAAGGTGGAAGTTGCAGGGTCTTTTAGAAGTTGTCCTCAGAGTGCATGCCTGGGAAGGTTATTCACAGTCCTTGGGTCCAGTCCACTTCTTAGCTTCTGATTTGCCATAAGGTGAGTGGTCTCTGACCCTTGTGATGCTCTGTCTCACAGGTCACATGGCCATGGGATATGACAGGGACCCTTGGAAATTATGAGCTAAAGTGAACCTTCCCCTCTATGCCAGGTAACGTGCCCCAATGATGCAGAACCTTCCTAATACAGTCTCTTACAAAACCACACCCTCTTCCAGATTTTAAGGGTCTTTATTTTCTCAATTGATTCCATTACAATTTATAGGAAATTCTAGTTACAGTGGTGATATTTATACACAAAGGAAAAGGCTCCATTCACTATTTCTGTGCCCTCCATTTCTGCCTCTTCAAAATACGATGATTATGTTCTCTTTCCAGGTGCACTGCCTTTGAAATGTCTCATATAATACATAAACACATAGTGTTACAGAAATACCAGCTATTTTGAATGGGCTTTGAATTATGTTTCAAATTCCCATAGGAGTTGGTTCTTAGTCCTTTGATATGGAATTGATCAATAATTCTTCCTTTAAAATAAGTATGTATATACATTACATGGCTTATGGAATTACATTTGAGTTTTTTTGTTTTGCATTTATATACATGTATATACAGTGTGCATGTGAATATGTACATCTATTTGCATGTATGTGGACACAGGTGTATACAGGTTCATCTGGAGGCCAGAGGGTGATGTCACTGTGTTTGTGTTTTCCTCCATCCTTCTCCATTTTATTAGAAAGGTCTCTCACCAAATCCAGAGCTCCATGATTCCCCTAGACTAGTGCTGTAGCTTGCTCTAAGAATCTCCCATCTTCCTGACTCTCAAATGTGGACGTTGTAATCAAACAGTCATTATCACTTGACATTTCTGGGGGTGCTGGGAATTTGCACCCCAGTGCTCATTCATAATCACTTTGTCAACCGAGTCACCCTCCCAGTCTCCTTTTTGATTCATTCGTTTTTCTTGCAGTCCTTCATGAGGTGTGCAGGCACACCTATAACTGTGCAGCACACACACACACACACACACACATGCACACATGCAATGGCTATGCCATGGATTTCTGAATGTACAGCACTTGGGTGGATGTCACTGTGAATTGTTACAGAGCTATGAATTTTACCCAAATAGAAAGTCCTCATAAACATGTAATTCAGAGCTGTTGGGCACTCAGAGAAACTGCTTATCCAGTTCAAAGGTTTGTCCTCAGTTGCTGAGGCTGAGAAAACTGGACAGCAGAATAAATTCTTCTGTATTTTTCATGTTACATTGAGGGAATATATCTGTTTAATAGCATTACTCTTCAAGGGAAGAACACACTGATATACTTAAATTGGCTGCCACTAGCAGAAAAAAAAAAGAAAAACTATAAACTGCTAATGTGTTCACAATAGTACAAAAATAGAAACAAAAATAATGAAATGTCAGTGAACACTGAAGATCTGAATCAACCTGTGGAATGCTATATGGCCATGAGAAAGAATTAGTTCCACCTATATGGATCAGCATCTAAAGAGTCCAAATGGAATCATAAGAACCGATTAAAAGCTATACATGTCATGATACTATTTGTGTCAGGAATATGTAGATCACACTGTGAATACTACATACACAGATCTATGCCTGAAAGTGCAAAATGAACTATAGACAACAGTCTGTAGGAGTGGCTTCTCCTGAGGAGAGGGAGAAGCCAGGCTGGCAAGAGTGCTAGCCAAAACATTTCTCACTTTGTTTCCTCTTTGGTTGTTTTCTGTTTTAAAATATGTCAATGTATCAAATATAATTAAAACTTTAAAAATAGAAATCCTATACATTTTCCTGTTGTGTGGAATAAAATTACATTATTTTTAAAAACTTAAAAATCAAATAAAAATATCTTTTGGTCTTGATATCCAACATAGCATTACCATTTTGGCAGAATTACTGCCATCATTTGAAATCAGAGTGTGGACATGGACTTCATTATCCACATTTATTTTTCTCATTATAATACCATGATTATCTTTACATAACTCATTTTAATGGGTGTAATACTCTATCAAGCTCTTATACTTTAACTTACTAATTTGTTATTTATTTAATATGTGTGCGTATATATGAATGTTATGTGTGTATACGTATGTACATGTTAGAAGGCCAGCGGTAGACTCTGAGTGTTCTGTTCGATTGCTCTGTGGCTTTTTCCTGTCCGAGACGGGTCTCTCATTGAATCTACAATTAAACTTATAGTCAGCCAGCTGCATGATCCTTCTGTCTCCACTCCCCACAGAGATGCCCTTACAGGCAGGTGTGTAGCCATACCTGGCTTTTATGTGGGTGCTGAGACCTGAACTCAGAGTTATCACCTGCTGAATCACCTTTCCAATTAAAATAAAAACAGAATTCTCCCTTCCAATATCTTAATAGATGTTTATTTTTGAGATGTAATAATGAATTAAACTATGGGAACATATTTGATAACTCTTCATATAAACGGGAAGCCTCCTTTTCTGGTGATAGTAAGGAAGGGATTGAACCCAGAGACTCACACATGCTAGGCAAGTACCTTACAACTGAGTTACATCCACAGCTACATGTCGGTCATTCTTAATGAGAAGTCTTGGGAAATATTTCTGGTAAATACAGAAATTCTTGTCTTAAAGGAATCTGAAGTATACATCCATAGACCCACCTGGCCCCATGGTACTCAGGGATACATGCATGGGAAAGAATGAGCCATCATACAGCCACTTCCCCACGGAGCTCAGTCATCACAACACTTTAACAACCAAAAAGCCTGAAAGCTAGAACCAAATACTGTAACTACACTTCCAGGAATGACAAATTATTAAGGATATATGGCTTTAAAAATTAATAAACAAAATTTTTATTCTTTCCTTAATTTTCTAGAATTATAGGAAAATAAATGATGCAAATCATGACTAATGTCAGTCCTGGGGTCAGTGGTTCTCAATCTTCCTAATTCTGTGACCTTTTAATACAGTTCCTCATGTTGTAGTGACCCCCAACCATAAAATGATTTTGTTGCTACTCCATAACTCTAATTTCACTACTGTTATGAACTGTAATGTAAACATTTGATATGCAGGATATCTGTTATGTGACCTCAGTGAGGGTCATCACCCACAGGTTGGGAACCACTGCTCTAGAGAGATGGGATGGCTAAATTTGGAAACTATATCTGCTTTGCTGTGAAACATCATCTCTGAGGTTGTTCACTGTAGCCGGTCAGCAATGAAACAGTGGCCAGGTAGGGCCAGCAGGGCATATGGCACACATGGACTCATATCAGCTGTGGTTACCAGCCCAAGGCCTGCACAGTTAAAGAAATATCCAGCATGGATTGGAGGGAGGTTCCTCAGGCCCCGCCCTAGCTCGGGAGCTGTTGGCAGTCTGTGGCTCCTGGGCCTGGGAGGGTCACTTTTCCTTAGGAATTTGAGCCCAGTGGATCACTCTATGCAACACTAATTGAAATCAGTAGGTTAACATAGGTAAGTAAATAGCACATGAAGTTGGGTGGGAAATATATGATGGAGATTCCTTGGAAGGATTGGAGGGGGGAGTTAGTAGTGCATGTGATAAAGATATAATGTATACATGTATAAAACTTTCAAAGAGTAAAATAAAACAGAAAAAGATTCCCTGGTTCAGGAATGCTGTGGAGTGGTAGACAGAGAAGACATCTTGCAGTAGGCAGGTATCTACTTACCATTGGTGTAAGGGTTGACAGTCTTTTTATTAGTCATTACACGTGCTGTTGCGTTATTAACCTACACACATAGAAAACTCAAGTGAGTTTGGATGCCAAGGCCAGCCCATGATCCAATTAGTTGCATGCATTATGACTGTGATTACTTATCGAAATCAAAACCAAGAAACAAAAACTTAAACAAAAACTAAAATGCATTTTAATTTACAAATGGCAATAGGTGCATAACCCAAAAATCATACATTTTTATAATTACATTTACTTCATAACCAATTTAACTTACGAATCATTTCAATAAAGCAATGTCATCTCATTTGAAAGTTTAATAAAGAGACAGTAAAAGCAAATTAAAAGCTACTGCATAATTGAAGGTTTAAAAGCATGCGTGTGCTCCATGGTAACACAGAAACAGGAGATAGGTTTTGAAACAGAAAATAAAGTTAATATGAAAGGGGCATGCAGTGGAGAAGAGGGAGGAGACAAAGTACAGGGGACATAATGTCAAAGAAAGGGACAGACAAGTTTAAGCCGTGTGCAACACTTCGGGAGGGGAAACCATGGGAAGCAACATCTAGCATTCAACACTTGGAACAAGAGCCTTTTACATTGCAAGAATTAACGAATCATTCAAGCTTTAAGGTCACAGCTAACAAAAGGATAAGAGAGGGTGCATTGTGTAACACAATATGGAGTTAACAATCTGAGTAAGATGTGCACTGGTCATAACTCAGTCCAGTCAGAGCCTCCCAGGCTAGCTTAGAACGTACACTCAATTACAGGCGTACCAAAGACCCAAAAAAATAGAGCATCAAGAAAACTTAATACAACAAGTCAAAAAAATCCACGTGGTAGAGAGATATGTATAGAGATATATCAGCACTAAATACGTGAAGCGGCAGATGGACTTTGTCACTTACCATTCACCACCATCGCCAGCATGGGTTTGTATACAGTTACCATGGTTACTGAGGGTTTGGTGAGGGGCCTAAGCGTTACCGTCGAGGGGGGAAAATAAAAAGGCAAAATATGCGACATCTTACTCCAAAGACTAAAGCATTTTTAACTGGTAATTTTTTTCTTTTTAAGTTTTAACAAATATGACCCTTTGATTGTGTTGAAGAGGAACCCAGTGGTACAAAGGGTGGGTGCCGAATGTCAGAATGCAGGGTTTACATTTCCAATCAACAGGGAGGGGCCATGACTGAAACGGGAAATCCTGATTGTTTATCCAGTGTCAAATTAGAGAACGCAGAAATTCAAGCTGCTTTTTGTTTTTAACTGCAAGTTTAAAGACAAGTGCCTCTTACTTTTTCAGTTTTAATGTTTTGAATGTCATTGCCTTTGGAATTTGGTCTAATTTGCAAACCACTGTGGATCCCTCTTCAACCCTAAAGTGGACTAAAAAAGAAACCAAACAAAACCAACAAAACTTGATATATACTTGGTTTGGTTTGAATACTGTGTCCTCTTTGGAACCTATTGCACCCAGTCTTCATAAAACATGGAAAATAAACTAACAAACCAACAGAACCTTTCAGAGTAACCTCCCTTTCAGCTCACTTTTTGCGATCTACTCTCCAGCAGTAATATAAAGAATAATGTAAAGTAAAATTTAACGAAAAAGTAAGGCCAGTTTTCCTTTTTATATATAAGTATATATATATATAAATATATATAAACAATGAGAGGGGGTAGGGTCACACACAAGACACCAATGATGCACCTGGAAGGACAAATGAGCGTGAAGCAGACATTTATAAAAAAATAAAAATAAAATAAAAAAGAGGAAAAGGAAAATATTGTGGACATGCACCTCGATTTTACGGCCCTCTACCACGGTACCGTGCAATTTCTCCCTCGCCCTGTCCGCATCCGCACTATTTTCGAAAGTTACGAAACCAAATCCCTGCATGCAGGAGGGAGAAGGAGAACAACATGCAGATTATTATTTCAGTCAACGACCACTTGGTAAAGTTCTCTTGCTTTCTTTGCTATTTCTTGTCCTGGCTTCAGTTCTGTAACATGCAAATTAGAGAAATTATAAGAACACTACGATGTGCAGTCATTAAGCAACAAATGTGAACGAGATTGTTTTTTCCTGTCACCCGTTAGCTGGAACCCCTAAAGAATTCAAAGATGGATATGAAAACGAAAACCAAACCAACAAACAAAAAATACCTTTCTAAACATCACTACTACAGAAGAAAAGAAATCAAACAAAAAGAAAATGAGATCAAAATAAATGTACAGTGTCTTCACAGAGAATTAAATGAAATAACGAGAAAAAAGAAAGGGAACCAGTTTCTTGACATGCAAATTAAAAAATCAAACAAAATAAAACGTGTGCACGGGAATTCAACAGTGAATGCTCAAGTCCTGTCACATTGCCTACGGAGTCATGCTGAGTGGATTTAAGAACGGTTCTTCTTCATGCAATTTTAAGGTTATTCGATTCTGTCAACTGTACAGCCTTTGCTTCTCAAAAATAAAAGTAACAAGCCTAAAAAAAGGAAAGACCTTTTTTTATAATAAATCTTGAACTTGTGGTTTTAATAAAAAAAAAAGAAAAATCACATGAAATGAATAGAAATAAACTTTTGTTGGTTAACAATGTGGATAAGCAAGTACCATTCTACATTTGTACTTTGCCCTCCCCCTCCCCCAAATTAGAAAAGAGTTTGGAATTTGACCTTTTACACTATGTTATTAATCAGAAAATAATGTTCTAGGGCACTGGGCTGGCATTCATTTGCTATATCAACAGGTACCAAAGTAGAGACATTTCTTGGATTAGGGATATCTGTGTAGCAGGCTGAACCCTTCCTCTTGACTGATAAACAACAAATACATCCTTTGTTTCATCACAAGCACAGTTTTTGTTTTTAATATTTCAGCCTCTAACACCAACCCCACTAACCCATATTTTTAAACTTTGCCTTCATTCTTCACTGACCCTGTTTCTATGATGAGTATAGAAAATCCTTAAACTTATTTGTGCATTTTGTTTAGAAATATATACACCAACCTTTGGAATAATATGGGTTCACTGGGTCCACATAAGTTGGAAGAAATTTTGCACTATGTAGGAACTATCAATTTGCACAGAATAAACCTCACACACAGTAAAGACAGTTGCTTAACCCTCGTGCATGACATTTAGCTTTACAAATAAAATGTGCAATAATCACACATTTAGAATGGGAATAGCCATCTCATATCAGCCCACAATCCTATGCTGGCACATATGATGACCTAATAATTGAGGGATATTTGGAGAAGAGTTGCTAGGTGCACTAGCTAGGAGGCGTTATAAAACCAGGCTTGTTTGTGGAGGGTATGTACTGTGAATGTGTTCAGGTGCTGGGAGATGGATATTTGTCAATGTCACAGACAGAAAAAGATCAGAGGTATTTACTTTGACTGAATGCTTTGCCTTGCTTTCCCCAGAGTGAGGATTTGTAAGTAGGGCATGCCTGAGTGAGCCAATAAATATACAGTGACATATTCCTCAGAAGCATTGTACATGTTGCCTACCTAACCTGGGTGCTCAAAAATACTTGCTAATAGTATTCTAGTTTTGGTGAGAAAGGAACAAAAATGCTCTCTGATGGCAAAGGACAGAATATGAGGGAATGGGTTGCTTCATTTGACAACTCTATCTCCTGGCTAGTGGTTCCCAAATTCAGTTGTGCATCAGGAGGGAACAGAAGCATGTTACATATTTTGATTCCTGGGCCTCATTTTGTATTTACTCCATCAGAAACTCTGAATGGAGACTAGACACAATTTTGCCTCATGACAAACTGCCTACATGACTTCATGGCTGCATTTTACTCTTTATTACACACCCATAGAAAGGAGGTTTCATGTGTTAGACTAAGTAGCACTTTATACCACTGCTTTGAAAAATGTCATCAGTTGGGCAGTGCGAGTTTATCACTCTCTTATTTTGTGCATAAATGTAGGAAGCACAGAAAAGATCATGTGCCCAAGATGTCTCATCATGTTTTGCCTCTCCTGTAAGCCTAAGTCTATAAGCATCTAAGTCAGACACTTAGGATTCATTAAGAGAAATAAGGGATTTATAGTCTCTCATCGGGTAAGAAAAGATAAACTAGTTTCTGCCTTGTGGATGGAAGGAAGGGTGGTGTCATTTTTTTTGGCACCAGATATCTCTATTACCATAGCACTGCAAGAACATAGCTGTAAATATTGTCCCAAGGAAACCTGTTTTATACTTCCCATCTGAACCCAAGGCAAACCCACTGGCTTCAATGCATACTATGCACATGAAGAAGAGCTGGAGATGGAGGTAGAAGTACCCTTGCCATTCTAGAAAATATGCACAGACTGAGAAAGGAAAGACCCTTGGATAGTTCTTATTCCAGGTATTGAATGACTTGATGAGACTTGTGAGGGTTAGGTTCAAAGCTGAGCTTGTCCTAGAAATGACCCCCCTAAACATCCAGCAGGCTTGGATAATTCTACTTCCCATCCAGTCCACAAACAATACATCTTCCTTGGGTCAGAAAATGATCAGAAGTCCCATGTGGAAACTGCCACCAGGACTGGAGCTATGGTCCCCTGGGCCTCTCAGTTGTCAGGTGTTCTGTCTCTAAAGCCCTGGATCCTGGTGTCTCTGAAAGTAGGAGCGAAGATATTGGCCTGTCCCATGTCAAGATTACATATCAAGGAAACAGTACCACAGCATCCTTAAAAAGATGAAATTTTTCATCATTGTCTTGGAATGAATAAATCATCTTTGGTTTGAAGAGTTGGGGTGAAATGAAATGATGATGGGGAATAATGAAGACTGTAAGAAAACAGGCCATGCAGAGCCAGGCAGAGCAGTGTAGACCTTTCATTCCAGATAGGTGTGAGACTGGGACAGGAGAGTCACAAGTTCAAGGTCTGCCTAAGTGACTCAGTGAGACCCCGTCTCAGACAAAAGTAAAAAGGGCCTTCGGGTGCAGCTCAATCATAGGATGCTTGTCAAGTATGTCTTAAGTCTACATGGACAGGTGGTCAGAGCTGAGAAAAGAAGGCTTCCTGGAGGAGGGCATGATGCTTCCTCCACAGATGGGCATGAAGGACTCGGTGACCTGAAATGGAGTCCTAGGGCATGGCTTGCTGATCTCAAAGCCTCAAAGTAAATTCTCACAATTCTGTATCCTGCTCACTCCCCCTCCCTGGTACTGGTGATTTTAGGTGGTAGACTTTCTTTGGGGCACTCAGGTGGATGCCCTGTTTTTTTTTTTTTTTTTTTTTTTTTTTTTTTTTTTTTTTTTTTTTTTTTTTTTTTTATCTTAAATCAAGATTCCAAAGCTCCCTGGAGGGTGGAATGAACACATTCTATTTGATATGATAATTCAAGTTCTCCCATCTTCAATGCAGAGAACTCATGTTTAGTTGAAAGGGCCATAGAAATTAATTTTCTTGATGACTAAGACTCTCACATTTCATATCTCTCCAGTGACTTTTGCAAATACAGCTCCTTTTCTTTGTGAGATATCTTCTTTTTCCCTTCTTCCTTTTCTCCTTCCCTCCTTCCCTCCCTCCTCCGTCCTTTCCTTCCTTCTTCATTCACCCTTAGCTCATTTTCTTCTTTCAAAAAGCCTCCCTTCCTCCAGCTAAATGCTTAGAGTTTCATCAGCCCCTTATGTCGTGGCAAAATACAGCATATTTTATGGCAGTTGTTCATGGCTGGTCTTTCCTGATGCTCAAGAAAAGCTAAGGGCTAGAAGCATGTCTGTCTTGCTCAAGAATCATTCACCTGGAGAGGAACTAGTCAATAGATACATATTAAACCAAAGACCCAATTGTGTGTTTCTCAGGTATGATAGATAATGGCTAAATCTGACTGTATTCCCAGAAACAAAGCATTTTAGAAGCAAAAGAATGATTTTAAATCTCTTAAAAGATGAACTGGATTGCGCAATCCATTACTCCTGCATGCAGTTCGGTTCTGATGATCAAGTCTGTCATTTCTTTTTTAAATGAGCCTTTCCTATAGTATCCATCTATATACAAAACACTCAGGCTGTGTGTTTCCAAAATATTGGAGCTATTTCCTGTCTGTGCATGGATATGCACACATACATATGTGTAGAGTCATCCTCACTCAGCTCTAAGTCACCTGCCTCAGGGAGAGTCTTATGGAGAACAAAGGACCAAGAGGAGAGATTCCTGGCCCTTTGGGGCCACTGGTTTCCTGGCCAACTGAGGCAACAACGAATGGAAATGAGATTCTATCCATGGTTCCATTTCTTGGGGGTGAGGATGGAAATGCTCCTCTAAATGAGGCCCTTTCCCACAAAGATGCCAAATATGACAACGTCTCAGAGACGTTCCAGTGACATGGCACCACCCAGCACCCACACCTGCAAGGCAGAGTGCTCCCACCCAGAGGGACAAAAAGACGAGTTTGGATGTTTCCTAATACTAAAAAAAGGAGCAAAGAAAAACAAAACAGCCTAACAAAGTCCAGGCTGCAGATGCTGAAATGGAAATACCCTTTTTCCCTGAAGCCACCAGGGACAAGCTAATCAAGGAGATGATGGAAAAAGTCCTAAAAATAGCACACCATTGTATTTTGAAAATAGCCAACAATTCTGTAGTGGTGTCCCCAAACATCCCTAGAAAGGAATGAAATAGCTTTCTTCGACTGACAAACATCTTACTAAACAAAATGTAAATTAAGTAGAAATTTAAAACAAGCCACAGCCAACAAGGAAAAAAGAAAGAACCCCACAAGGCAATGGTATAATAAAGAGATTCAGAATCAGGACAGAGCTGGGACACATTCTACATGATCTTCAGTTTGGCTGGAATCTGCCAGGCCCAAGAAAGAAGCCTTGACTAGACTTTTCTTTTAGTGCACCTTGCTCTACAGCTATAAAAATGGTTTTCAATACAAGAAACAGCTAACTTCTTCCCCTTACCCCAGTTCAGAGGTCATACTGTAAGAATGACTGGAAGAATAGCTAAAGTTGATGAAGAATGACCAGGTCCCTGAATGAGCAGATCTACAGACTGAAAACTTTTCCATTCATCTGGCAGATTATAGTATCATTTTGTATGTAAAGCAAGTCCTGGGATTTTATTCCCTTAATCCAAACAACACTGTCCTCCTCAGTCAGCATTATATCTACTTAGGATGGAGTGGGCAGAGGCAGGTGCTGTAAGGAGTAATCAATCACGAGGTTTGCTTCAGTGTGGTTACTGTGCCATGTGACAGTACAAAACCAGTGATGCTTAGGACTCTCTTTGGCACCTATTGTCCTGTGTTGCCCATAGAAGGGGCATTAATAAGCCCAACCAGCATCCCTCTGTATCTGACAGCAACATTCCCAGCATTCACTTTTAGAGGCTAATGGTGGAAGGAAGATAGGAGATTAAGGTTCCTTAGGATCTGATTACCTTAGGTGTGTCACAGTCTGAGTTATTCACAGCTGTGCTTCATCTGGCTTCTAGGACAACTCTATCCTCATCCAACACCATTCTCTCTGACCAAAGAGAATGCTGGAACGTCTTACGAGATTATTTCCTATGAGGGGTGTTTGTGTGAGGCTCTTGAATCTTCTCAGGGGACATAAAGATAAAAAGGGGGACTATGACAGCAACAGAGACAGTGATGAAATACTTATGGGCAAAGGCTAGTCTACATTCAGATGAGGGCCAGGCCTTTTCCCCAAAGAGAGACACTGTGTTTGGCATTTTGAAGACAAGCTTGAGAGGTTTGCTAAGGTGTGGATTGCTGGGACCAGCCATCTTCAAAGTTTCTGATTTGGTAGGTCAGGGCTAGAGATGGAGAGCATGTATCTTTAACAAGCTCCTGCATGCTGCTGATGCTACAGATTTGGGACCACACTTCACTAGCCATGGATGGAGAGCACACAGTGGATGAACTGGATGTTTACATCTCCTGTGTAGGTACTGGAATCTTCTCTCAGAGCCTTCTATGAATACTTGTCAGCTCCAGGAAAAAGCGATTTACACATAAGTTTCCTAGTAAGAAAATAAACTCGCAATAGCACACTACAAAATGAGGGTTGTAACATTCTAATGAAAAAAATAAAATTATATTCAAAAGGTTGGTGTATATGAGAGTTTTTTCCTCTGAAACCCAGGAAAAGAACTGCACTTTATTAAGACAGAGTTATCACATATTTACCTGCTCATGAGACTATCAACTCACTTTTTAATATAAAGAACATAATTATCACTGGAAAACAAAAATGTAGCAACATCATTATTTTTTTTAAGCATGGGTAATTTCCCTCTGGAAACTTAAGATATATAATTATATCTTTCTATATATTTAAACCAGCAATTAAAACGGAACCCCTACACATTTTAAATGGAACCCAATGCATCTTCTAACATTAAGGAAATGGGTGGTGCTCTCTAAAGAAATTCCCACCAAGTGCATTTCTCAGGGACTGACTCACACAGTGCAGTTATTTCCCCTACCCCTAACAGACATGTCACAAAGAGCTAAGAAATTCCAAACTGAATCAAGTTGCTTACCTTCGAGCCTCGCTCATTAAAAATAATTTCAACATCTAGTATTTTACCAAATTGCTGCAAAGAAACAGAAATATCTGATGAGCAAAAAGGAAATCAGTTAAATTATACAATATATACCAGTAATTACTCCTCAAGTCAGAGAGCCTTCCCTGAGTTAAGAGTATACATTTTATTTTGTTGTGTTACTGACATGCTTGAAATGAGGAAATGATAGCATATTCATTATCTTCAATTTATGGCATTTTCTAACAGGTGAGGTACATTATCAGGGCCCAGGACAAAATCTTAACCAAGAAGTTAATTCTCTCTCTCTCTCTCTCTCTCTCTCTCTCTCTCTCTCTCTCTCTCTCTCTCTCTCTCTGTGTGTGTGTGTGTGTGTGTGTGTGTGTGTGTGTGTGTGTGTGTGTGTGTGTGCTTTCCCAGGCACTGAGCAGCAGAGATTAAAAATGGCTAGTCATCACCTATACAACATTTCCACCAGCCACTGGGATAAACACCCCAGGAGAGCTGAGATTTTGTTAATAAAATACCCAACTAGCATGATAGAATGTGATGTTGGAGATTTTTAGCTCTGAGCTTATAGCAAAACCAGAAGCATCCAGACCATGTGAGAAAAGTAAAAACACAAAGGAGCCCCTGTGCCCCAGGTTCATCATAACCCAGACATCTGCAAAGCCAGGATGAGTCCAGGATGATGCCCTCCCCCCACCCCAGATGACAGTCTGTACTCTCGAAAAAACACAATTTACACCCCTCACATGAGCTGGCTCTATGAAAGATCCAGAAACAAAGTTTCAGTGATCAAATAACAAACAGGCAAATAAAATGCAAATGACCATTGACATTTAAATTTCAGATTTTATAGGATAAGTAATATTTGTAACATGCAATTTTATGTTACATGCAAGTAATATGTCCCACATAATATTTAGGATATAAGATAAGATACTTGCTGTTTATATAAAATTCAAATATGACTATTGTATATACGTGTGTGTGTGTGTGTGTGTGTTTTAGTGACAAAATGTTAAATTTGGCAGAGTATTACTCTTAAAGAGTATTTCTCATCAAGCTATTCTTGACTTGGGCATACTCCTACAAAGGGTCTGTGGTCTCTGAAAACATGAGCATCTGATAATCCAGAATCCTCTCTAACTTAAGGTTCTTGTGCTTCCTAGATGTCATGGATAACGGTGTAAGTGGTTCAAGCATATAGTTTGCTTCCCATAATGCTGGTGGAAGGGACTGTTGTAAAGCAGGCAGGGAAGAATAAGATGGGAATTTTGCCTAAATGCAGAATGGAAGGTAAACACTCATTTTGATGATTGAACAAATAAACCAAAGCCAATGGAATGCATTCCTGCAGATTTTCCTTCCTTCCTTCCTTCCTTCCTTCCTTCCTTCCTTCCTTCCCTCCCTCCATTTCTTTTCTTTTCTATTTTTCCCCAATATATTTCTCTACTGATTATTTGGGATGAATCCCAATCACACTTGCTTCCCATTCCTCCCAGGTACACCCTCCCACCCTTGCCCCCCCCACAAAAGAATACGCCAAGGCCAATTTGTGTTGCCCATATACTCATTGGTGAGTGGTCAAACTCCCAGCAGCCAGCCCCTTAAAGATAACTAAGGTTTCCCCCCACATCCCCACCAGAAGCCATCAACTGTGAAGAAATTCGCTTCAGCTTCTTTTGGTGCTTTCCTGTCATGTGCTGCCTGCCTCTGCATTCTGGATATTCACTGCTGCCTTGCTACCTCAGGAGAGTCTGTATTGTTCTTTCATCCTTGGATGGGAGTGTTCAGCAAGGCTCTAAAGATAGCAGGGTTGGGATGAGGGTGAGGCCAGGATCAAAGGGAGACAAAGCATAGAAATTCCAAGAAGCTGAATAGTTCCCCTGACCAACCTGCCCAGGTCTGTGAATTGCAAGAAACTTGGAGAGTCAATGGCAAGAGGTTTCTTCCAGTATTCAAGAAAATAATTATTATTTAAAAATTTTCATATTTATTATTTATTTATTGTGTGTGTGCATGCATGCACATGCATACAGATGCACATGTGTGTGCCAAGATATATATGTGGAGGTCAGAGGACTAGAGGTTGAACTTAGTGTGTCAAGCTTGGCAGCAAGTATCTTATCTCTGGAGTCATCCTACCAGCCCTTTAGAACATTTTTTTGTGTGTGTGTCAATTTTTAGAGCAGAGGAAAAACTCATTAAAAACAAAGAAAACTTTCCAATGTGACAAATGAAGAATTGGCCATTCAGAGGTGAAGCAAGTTCCATAGTAAAGAATCTGCCACAGTGTAAGCACTTCAGAAGAACAACTGCCACAGAATATTCCGTTCCCACAGATGCTTTTATATTTATTTCAGGCACAAGAGCCTAGAAGCACATTATATTTATGGAAAGAGAAGGCTGAAAAAGACATCTTCCAACACCATGAAGCAAATGTCACCCATGGAACACTCCCTAAGCAGTCAACACAAAAACGCTTCCCTTAAAATAGGAACTGGATGAGACGAGCCGATCAGAAAGCCATCTTCGCATGTGTCATTCCCTAAATGAAACAATGACACCATATGCCCTGGAATGATCTCCAATGTTTGCTTCCTTGGCAGGTGGCACTGGGTGGATGGTTCTGGAAGCCAGTGAAACAAGCCGTAAGAAGAATGCTGAAGCAAGCCCATTTTCTGAGACAGTTGTGCACTATATTTATAGTATCAACGGTTTAATTGAGAAGTTTGGTACTAATGATGCCAACACAGCTGGCACATCTTCAATTTAAATAGACAGGACTCGTTTGCAGACATAACTAGCATTTGTTTGTTCAACGACAACGTTCATGAGCATTGAGCAGCATCTTGGATCCACATGAGGTACCTCGATGGCTGTATCAAGACCAAAATCCGGAAGCCTATATGCGTGTGCTTGGGCAAATATGTACTGAACAGTTTTAGACATTCTTAGATCAAATAATAAAAAATATGAAGGATGTTCACCAGCTACAGCATAAACCCTGAAAGTAAAGGTTAATTCAGCATGTGCACAGAGACTAAAGACAGGCTTCATGCTGGTGCTGCATTTTAAATTTTTTCTTTTACTTTTGAGATTATAATTTAATTACAATTATAATTAATTTCATTCCCTTCTTTCAGACATGTCATATACCCTTCCCTACTCTTCAAATTCATGCTCCCTTTCTCCTTTTACTAATTGTTATCACGTGCATAAATTTATATGTCTATACTTATGTATTTCTAAATATAACCTATTCATATAATGCTACCTGTTTATATGTTTTCAGGTCAGGGCTGACCATTCGGCACTGGACAACCCATTGGTGTAATCTCTCTTGGAGTTGTTCTTAAGGTGCTTTCAGTATAGAAAAAGGAGGCACTGTGACATGTCCTCAGAATGACTTTACCATTTCTAATGCCCTGTTTTATGGAGTGTTGTATTAACATGAAAGGTGCAAGGAAGTCCATCTGCACAGTATCCACCAAAAGGTATCATCCCAGTGTCTTTTTCACACGTAAACAGTCACGTGTTTTGTTTTTATGATTAAAGACAGACTTGAATAGATCACTTTCCTATCCAATGTGTCTTTATTTATTACGTGTCTATGTACATGTGTGCTTCTCTGTGTGTACAGATGCACGTGTTTGTGTAAGTACCCATGCATGGACATGTGCATGTATGTAGGGTCTAGACAACAACCTCAGGTGTCCTTCCTGAAGCACCATCGTTTTGTCTTTTGAGACAGGGTCTTGGATCTTGTCAAGTGGTCTAGGCTGGGTGGCCAGCAAGCCTAGGGATCCTCCTGTCACCTTTCTAGTGCTGGGATTATAAGCATTGGCCACCACTTCTCAATTTTCTTCACATGAGTACTGGGAATGAACTGGGTCTATGTGTCTGCATCCTAATCACTTTATGACTGAGCTGTCTCTCCAGCTCCTGGAGTATCTTGATTTTGATAACAAAACCAAGAGGCTGGGACATCAGGGGTATGCTACAAACTGCAGACGGCCAACTGATCACACTGCTTTTAAACTAAAACAATGTTGTGATACCATGTGTTGTACAGTGGGTCTGGACATATCATAGTCCACTCTCACCTCAAACCCAGAAATATTTAAATTTTAAACATTAATGTATATTATGTATTTTTTATTCAAGCACAACACATTGTAATTAATTGGATTGTATTCCACAGAGTTCTTTTATGAGATCAAGAATTCAAGTATAGAACTTTGATATGAAAATGCTGATGTCTCTAACCATGACCACCTGTGAGCCACACTTATAAGTATGGCAGATAAATAATGACACAACTTCTCCTAAATCAAGGCAGTAAATTCCCCATCTGCTTTCCAGAAGATGTATTCAATAAAATATACGTATTGAACACTCTCTAAATATGGGCAAGAAAAATTTCAGATACGTTGTGGTATGCTTGCATGTGCAAAATCCCCATCATTTTGGAAGATGAGGGAGGGGGGTTGAGAGTTTGGGGCCAGCCTGTGCTAGTCAGCAGGTTTGAAACCAGTTTTTGGTTGCATGGTAAGAGCTTGTCCTAAAACACAACAAAACAGAACAAAATGAAAATTCAAATGTGAAGGGATGTGAGCTTAAGTGCTGTCCACAGTGCTCCTAGCAGACCTCAAGAGGCACACAGCTAGGGCTGAGATCAATAACTTCTCAGTTCCCCCACTGAAACATCTGGAATAAGTGCCCCTAACAACCGCACTATCCCCATTCACTCACAGAGCTATGGAGGATTTAAAAGGACTCCAATTACTGCTTTGTATATTGTAGCATACACTCCTCACCCAAGGAATGAATATACCACCTTAAAAGACATCATGCAAAGAAATGTAATGTGAAGCACTAGTTAACATCAGCTTTGGAAGATGTGCCCCCGACAAAGATGAAAGTGGAGAATGGGAAATGCACAACGAAGAGAGGTAACTATAATGCCTGTCTCTCTGGAAGGTACAGAAAGCACCAATTAAAATAAGACACGAGATACCTGTTGGAAGCATTAGGCAAGTGACTGCTGTGCTGAGCATGGGGAAAGTTTCTGCATTTGGAGAAGTTGGAAACTGCCACGTTCTAGGCAATTTGAAAGAAGAGGGTACTTTGTGTCTTGTTCTGTTTTTGACATTGAAATTTCTGTGCCTCGTTTGAACAATCAAGTCAAAGGAGGCAGGAGGCACAAAGATCTGTTTTTCTCTGTAACTGTCCTCAGTTAACCCCTACCCAAGCAAGGAGACAGAGGACAGAAGAGAGGATGCAAAAGAAAGACACTGTCTCATGGCCAAAGGCTTTGAGCGGCAGCTAACTGGGACTAAAACATGGTTGCTTACAGTAACTAAGATCTGAAAGAGGAAATTGTGTTGAATCCCCTAAACTCTACCATGGGGAGCCAAGCAGAAACTTCCAGATGCTTCTCAGTATGATTCATGCTGCTAAATGTATCATATAATAGAATGGCTTTGTGACCACCAGTGTTCATCTTAGGAAAATTCCATTTCTTTAAAATAGCAGTTGTTAAAACCAAAGAGGACTCCCAAGTTACTGCAAGTGGTCCATGAATCCATATGGTCCAATAATTTTTATAGATGAAATCCACACCCCACAAAATCCACACATACCCTTTAACATAGACACAGATGTTGTTTGTGATAAGTAGAATTAATTTCAGTGTTCATGAATGTATATCGCATTCCCTTAACTGACAGATGCTAAGGGTATATCTATCATCATATCAAATCAACATCTTGTTAGCTAGCTGCGTGAAAATTTTGACTCAAAGGGAAAACAAAACAAAACCAGTGTTTCTGAAACAAATAGATTTAGATCTGGGTTTAATACCAGGTAGCATGACATTTGACAAGTTCTTTCTCTGGGCATTTCTGCCCTAACCCTAAAGGACAGAGAGATTCAGATATTAACATACACATCATCTCATCTGTGTGACTTCCAACTGCGAGTATTTTGACTACTTCTCTGACTTAGCCCTGTAGCCTCAGGTAAAGTTCAAGATAATCAAAAAGTCCAGGGAAGAAAATAGACCCTTAAGGGTAGAAACTGGGGTTGGCTGCCTTGCATGTCACCATGAAAGATTGTGAGAATGGTCATTAAGAGAATCCAGTTCAAAGCCAACATCACAGTGACACTTGATGAGTAAAGACAGACCGAAGAACAAGACATCCCTGTGGCTTGACATGGCAAAGAGAATCTAACTCCTCCAGCTACCCATCAGTCAAGCTGTGTCCCACTGCTTTGCACACACTTAACCTCGACTCTAACTTCGAATGCTCTGCACTTTTCAAAGTCATCTTTGACCTGAGAGTGCCCGAGGGTATCTTCGTTCTGCAAGAGTTAGAGGGCTTAACTCAAGGTTATTACCAAATGAGAGAGCGATAAAAGTGCAAAAGTTGACCTTTTCCTCTGAAATGTCAGGATTCAAGTCTGGGTATCTAAAATATTAGGATGCCTGCTCTGCTTTTTTGTCACATGCATACTTGATAAGCATCGTGTGTGTTAACGAAATAAAAGGTCCAAGCTCACCCCCCAAATCATGGAACCCCTGAGTAATGAACCAGGGCTTCGTCTTCCCGCAGAGAATAAGATGAGCTTTGCTCACAATGAGACATCTGACCCGACTTCTTCTTATTGGTGCTGTTTGCAGCTCTCCACAAACTCTTAGAGGAGTCTCCAAGCAGCCCACCTCTGTTCTGAGTCAAATGTTAAGAATGTAGTTCTTTGGTCAAATGCACAGATGCTTGCTACCACTACTGGGATATCATGGGTATACAGAGTGACTACATTTCAAAACACAAAACTTGATCTGAGCCTCGTCAAAGCTATGTCCTGTGGCATAGCTGAGACCAAATAAATTATAAACTCTACCCTTCCCTGGGTGGATTGTTCAAACATCTTCCAGAGAAATAATCAGGGTCATGGTGACCAGTGAGAATGCAAAACCATCATTTATTTCCCCAGGGTGAGTGGTGGCTTCTGGCTGGTTCTGTTTCACCATAGTGCCTAGATCAGGCCGCCCTTTGCCCCCTTGGTAGCATGGTAAATACCCTTAAACCTTCATCTAAAGAACTGAATACTGAAAGAATCAAATCAGGTTTAGAAACTGGCAGTTTTTGTTGTTGGTGGTGGCTGATTTTGAAGACTAAGCTTTATGTAGAAGTAGCCATCACTGCAGCTGCGGTACACAGTGCCTGGGGGAAACTGGGGATAGAGTCACTCATGGATCATTTTTTTAGGTAAGCAGGCAAGGGCTTCAACATTTATTTTAGTTATAATGTGGGGTCCTGGGCTGCTGGCTTTGTGATCATCAATGGACCTTATCATCAGTGGTTAATAGAGGAATCTCATTTCCACTTGCCTTTTAAGTTACTTATTAGAAGATGACCAACTGGCAAAGAAGAAACCCCACGTGCACAACTAAAACAAGTAAATGTGTCCTGCCACCCCTGAGGGATTCTAGCCAATACCGACCCAGGTATCAGATGCTAAAATGCCTTCATCCCACAAGAACATTCCACCTTAGAATGATGAGTACCCGGAACTCCCAGAAAGAGAGAAACTGAGGACAAAGGTAGTACTTACACCAAACATTTGTCGGAGGTCTGGATCCCGGAACCGGAAGGGGATGTTGGACACATGCAGTCGCTTAGGCTGGGACTTGTTTTCTGTGTTTTCAGAAGGTTGTGTCTGGGGCTGGCCATCAGTCGGTGCTGCATCATCTGTCTGCTAAAGGGACAAGAGGAAAGCAAAGTGTCTGTGAGTACTCTGTCTCAATGTCCTCTCCCTTCCCCTATATGGCAAGGTGGTGTCAGACAAAGCTTCTCAGTCTCTTGTTTTCATATTTAATGGCAAAAAGTATGTTTTGAGCATCCACTGAGTGCCCAGCCATGGATGTGAGATTCCATATCAAGCAAAGCAGTCAAAAGTCTCTGATTTCATGCAGTGTAACTCTCTCAGTGGGAAGGCATAATAAAAACCATTCATAAATAAATGCATAGTTGGGAAGAAGGAGATAGACATTGTGGGAAAAATAAAGGAAACAGAGGCTAGGAAAGGCTGGGGGCTCAGGGTTCATAGTGGAAACCTCATCAGAAAAAGAGTAAAGATCATTAAAAATAAGAACATGTATCCTTTAATGCTGTCCGAATTCTTATGCTATTCATATATAAGCACTGAAGCTGTACAGATAAAATATTAATAAATGTCAAAAATTTGCAAAGGCCTTTTGGTGATTTTCCATTCATCCAGAGAAGCAGATGATTGACTCAACTTTTTCTTAGGATGTTAACTTAGCTTAATTGTACAAATCTGTGTTGCCTACTGCCACAGACCCCATGAGATCATTTAAATTTCAAGTAAATGGGTTTGTCTGGATTTGTTGCATTTGAAATACTCAATAGCTGCACATTAGGTAGTGCCTGTGTTGGAAAAGGCAGAAATAGGATATTCCCATCTGTACAAAAGCTCTGCTGGGTTAGACTGGTGTAGATGATATAAGGCTATTAGCATAGCCCATTTGTTTTCCTTCACACAGGAATAAGTTAGGATACTATGTTATTATCCTGCTCCCTATAATACAGGCAAGAACTAAGAAAAAAGTCACATTAACTACTGCTGCCATTGTGGACATTCTGGGGTTTTTTTTTTGTTTGTTTTTGTTTTTGGTACTTTCTCTGCAATTAGCATATTCTGCCTGTAGGTGGCAGTAGACACTGTCCACGTGAGACAAGCTTCTTTGAAACTACTGTTGTAGGGTCTTTGCCAAAGCTGAAATTTGTAAGCAAAGAATCATCCTCATCTCTTTATAAGCAATTTAGAAGCATATAACTAGGACAAAACTATCAGTGCAAGCAGCCAGGTGTAAAATAATAGAGACTGAGAGGAGACAATCTTACAGAGTGAAATGTAAAAGAAACACCCAAATAACAGGAGCATAATTAGCAATTTTCTCAACATCTCTCCTGTGTTCTAGGATATTTTATTTGTATCCTCCTTCCTCATACACTCTGAATGACATGTTCAAGTCAAGACCTCCTGGTGTCTTGTGCATCATCCATCTCAATTGATTTGATATCCGAAGCCCTGCCAGATGACTTCATCAACTTTCAAGCACAATGTGGCCTGACAGCCACGTTATTTTGCTTAAAATGTGAAGAAGGAGATGGTCTAGGAAGACATGGAGAGCCAGTTATAATGCAGCTAGTTATTTGTGGGGGTGTGGGCTGAGTAACCTCAAGTCACAGTTGCCACTCACTGGAGGGACCAAGACACACCAAATTTGGTTTAGCAGAGAGAGGTATTAGGAAAGGTACAGGGGACAGATTCTGTGCCAAGAGAGTGCAAACCTGTGCAATGATAGGAAGATTTAAGGGGCAGCCCTGCATTCTGGGGAGGCTATCCGGAGCCAGACAGAATACATGGAGGATGAGCAAGAGAGAAGACTTCAGAGGTGGGTCAAAGTTGTAGACCCGAGAGTCATGTACACCAAAGCAAGGGGCTGTTAGAAGCCACTCAGAGATGACAGCGCGAGTGAGTTGTGACCAGCATGCTACTTGAATGTTAAATGCCTGTTAAGTGATTGGCTGATGCAGTGACAGACTGAAAGTATGAAAGATTAGTGCACAACTAATAAATGAATAATAAATAAACGAGTGAATATCACATTTGTCAGCTTCAAGCGCTAGTTAATGAATAGCAATGTAAGCTAGGGAGGAGGTTCACTGGGTGAACTGCTTGCTGTCCAAGCAGGAGGGCATGGGTTTGCCACCTCAGAACCCACATAAAACTGGATATGGTTGTACATGTCTATAATCTCAGGACTCCTACAATGAAATAGGAGGTGGGTCCAGGAGCATTCTAGAAGCTCAGAAGCAGTTGTCCTGTAAACACAGCAATGATGAGAGACTGTCTCAAATGAGGAAGACACGAACTAACATCAGAAGCTGACCTTTGACCTCTACATGCACATCATGGCACATGTACACACATATAATCATTCTATAATACTGAGACCCACACAGAGCAGGCACTGTGGCTTTTTGTTTTGTTTTGTTCAGTAACAGCACTTTGGGTTCCACATCAATGACAAAGAAACTACGTTTAAATCATGATATTGCTACTTTGCCAAAAAAAAGAGGTCTCAGTGTCCAACCACAAGACCCTAAGTTGGCATTGTAATAGCTAAGACCCCAAGTTTCTCGCCCATTTTCTCCGCCCTATTAGAAATTGCTATGTGAATAAAAAATTAAAATGACTTTCTCTTCCTCCCAAGAAGCTGTCTTAGACTTGGCTTTGTGCACAATTGCTGAATGGATCAGTTTAATAAACCTAATTAGGAATTACAGAGATTATGATTAAACATATTAAATGATTAATAGCATTATGCTGCTCATGTAAAAATTAAAATTAATCATCTCTAGTCAAACAGGACTTTGGAGAAATCTTTGTGGTGTTTCCTTTGATAAAAACATACGACGCTCGATTAATCGTTTTGTAGTGTACACATTTATACAAATATCCATAAACTGTTATGTAGGGACATCTATGGCAGAAATAATTTTTACTGAAAATATGTAAAATATGTAAAAATGAAAAAAATAAAGCAAATCCAAATTGTTCCAAACTTTGATAGGTTTGTGAGAAGGAGTAAAGAGGGGTGAGAAAGGACAAGCGAGAGACCATTTCAAGCTGAGTGTGCCTGTGTCCAGAGAGTCTCACTGTACTACAACCAGGGTTATGGAACCACTTCATCCACTGGGCAATTCCACTGCCACCAACTACTAGTCCAGTGCAGGGCACCTCACATCTCTGTGCCTACAGTTCACTCATCTGTGAAAGGATAATAATTGTCCATGGCCTGTAGGCTTAGGATAAGAACCAAAATAAAGGGGCAGGTACAAGAGGCAGTGACCTCAGAGCAAGGAGCCCCCATCTTTTATACTGAAGAGAGTACTTGTTACCTTTTAGGCCAAAGTAGGCTTTTTCTATGTATCTCTCTTGGAATTTTCAGGGGAAATATCCCCGGAACAAATCTGTGCTTTTCTACGTCCATTAGGATTTAGATCTGATATGCTGCCTACATGTGCTGATACAAGCTTGGTGAATAACCTTTGGCACCTGTAAAAGCTGTCACCTCCTGGAAGGAAGTGAAGTCACTGAGAGGACTGGACCTTCACCTGCTCTTCTTTTTCTTTTGTATCCTGGTATTACCCAGTCAACAGCAGTCCTCTACCCATCTCCACAATGCCCTGTGCTCCAATAACCATGGGTTGAAAGCTCTGAAACCCCAAGCAAAGGTACACCTTCCTGCTGTGTAAGCTGTCATTCTCTCTCAGTACCTGGAGGCTGACCAACACAATCTCTGGGTTTGTCTCCAGTCAGATTATCACAAGTCTAGTGGCTTAAAACAATAGAACACTCTCATACCATAGTAATGAGGTTAAAAAAAATCTAAAACCAGGGTGTCCACAGGACCAAGCTTCTTCTTCCTTTGCCTCTTCCAGCTTCTATTTCTGGGCATCTCTTGGTTTGGGGCTTTATGACTTTGATCTGCCTCTGTCTTCACATGGCCGTCTTCCTTTCACTCAAGTCTACTCCAGCCTTTTCTTCTTACAAAGACACTAGTCATTAGATTTAGAGCCCATCCTAAGCAAGGATGACTTAAGATCATTAATTTCATTACATCTGCAAAGACCCTTTTCCCCAAACAAGGCCTCAAATATTCACAGTTGACACAGGTTACACCATGGACATATATTCGAAGGCTGCCAATTCAACCTATGACAGTTTCCTCATAAACACAAAACCAGAAGAGCATATTCAATTAGTGGCTATTTTCTAGGAATGACTATGTTAACTTTTAGTACGATCTCTGGGCATTTAGAGACTCTCAAAAGAGCTAGCCTCCAGCAGGGGCCAAAAGAAAGGAGAATGTTCTAGTCTGAGTAGAGAAGAAACAGGGACCTTCCCTTCACCAGGCCAGGCTGGCCATCTCCCCTTATGTTCTTGGTTATAGACAGAGATGCTTGACCCCTCTGCTAGGGCGGGAAGCCCTTGTCAGCTTCTAGAAATGTCATCAACATTCTACTCTTTAGTCTGAAAATGAATAAAATGGTAATTATTCACCTGCTGTGGACTTTTCTGAATGAGACAGTCATGGTTAAGACCCACTTAGTAGGCCTTACATCAGTCATGACAGTCACCAACAGCACTCACTCATTTTGGTTTTGTTCTCGGTTTCTCTGGAGCATGGACATACACAGCTCTGAGAAAGAGCCTTCTAATCACACAAGAAGACTCACAGACCCTCTGAATTGGAGACTCATTAACTCCAAGAGGCAGGTTTCTCAGAAGTGCTTGGCAGAAGTTCTAAACAAGTGCATTAAGACCCACCATGCCAGGTTCTGTGCTGGCCCACTGAGGCACAACCCTATCAGCAAGTGGGCTGTTGGCTGAAGAATTTTTCTTAATAAACAAACTCCCCAGGTATTGGCACAGGTTATAAATGTTAAGAAAACACCACCGGCACTTTAATCTCCTGAAGATCACTTAGTGTTTCCACAAAGACCTTAATAAAGAACCGTGGGGCTCCCTCTGCTGTAATCGTTCCTAATTCAATGAATAGCTCTGAGCAACCCACGGCTAATCCTAGTGAAATTGGATTTTGATATCGACCAATCCAGGGATGACTGTTTGAGAGAGAATACACATAGAAATGGGCTCCTTTC